GGGGGGGGGGGGGGGGGGGGAAGTCCAAATCAGCATCCTCACCTTCTTGCAGAATGAGGATCCTGCTTGGAAAGCTTTCTTCTCTGCAGGGCAAGCTGAAGCACACTAATGGTTATGCCATTTGAATACATCACACCAGGGGAAAATACATCCCTGGTTTTGAACCCCAAGAAACCAGATCTGCATCTGGTTTAATTCAGCACAGTACTTTGCCAGTTTGCATCAACTGGGGGTCAGAATAGCTGTGTCTGTCATTGTCCAAGGATGGCACTGAGCAAGAACAGGAGAGCTGGCCAGAGCTGCAGCTGGTTACAAGAGTTGCTCCAGCACATGTGAATGAGTGAAGCTGTGCTGGACAATTTCTTTCAGCCAGAAAATTTTTAGACCTTGCTGGGAATAACACCAGGCAAGTTCAAGGGGCATTGCATAGAGCTTTATTGAAATTGCAAATTCTATAGATGGGAAGGGGAAATAATGTAACAGGTTAAAAAGTTTCATAGGAAATTCTGCCCTTTGAGCCACTCAGAAGGTTCCCCCCCACCCCCAGAATAGCTGTTCCATAGATAGCTACTGTGGGCATCTACTGCTAATTTTCTTGCTTTAAGACAGTGTTGTAAAATTTAAGTAGGATTTGTCCCTTTTTCTGTAGTTGGGAATAGACCAACAAGACGTTGGGTGAGGAAGCTGTACTGCTTGGGGATTTTGCAATAACCCAGACAGCAGCAGCCACAGCATTGCTTTGGGAAGGAGATGCGTCCTCTGCCCTGGGCTGGCAGCTTCCTGGAGAGCCCCATGCAGCCTGGGACGGGGGCAGCGATTCCTGAAGGATCATACACATGCAGAGCTCAGGGAAGGGTCTGTCACTCCAGTTGTGGAAGGGTTATGACAAGGAAACACTCAGTGAATGAATACCAGGACAAGGATATAGGAAGAGGCAGAAGTTTTATAAAAGGGTCAAGCTGATTTCTTAATTAGCATAACCAAGATTTGGTGGACTAGCTCATAGGGATTTTAATATTAAATTAATTAAATATTAAAGCACAGAGTTGTTTCAAGTAAAAATAGAGAGGGGAAAAAGAAAGAAGGGCTGAAAGGTGGAGCAGGGGCATTAGCAGCCTCATGGCAGGGGGAATTTTGCTGCTACTTAGTGGGGAGGGAAAGCCTGAACTAGTCAGGCTGAAGTGTTAAATAGTCTCTTTTGCATCACCTGTCTTAAGGCAGCTGGTGCAATTAAGACCAGCAAGAGAATGATGAGAGCTCAGCCAAAATCAGGGAGGATACAAGGCAACCATGAGAAATTTTCAGAGTGATAAGGCCCTGATGAGCTTTATCCAGGGCTACTAAAGAGGTGATGGATGTAACTGCAGCTTTATTGCATTATCAGCTACTTTGGAGAACTTTTGGAGGCACTGGAAGACTGAAGTAGAGCAAATAAAACACCTGGCCTTAGAAAGGAGGTAAAGAAGAGCCAGGAAATTACAGAACAGCTTAATTTCAACCCCAGGAAATTCAGGAACACACACTTCGACAACATGTGTGTGAGCACCTGCAGGATAGTAAGGAGACTAGAAGCAGCTGACACGGATTTGTCAAGAACAAATCAAGTCAGATAAATCTCCTTTGTTCTTATGACAAGTTAACAGGCTGTACGGACATTGTGGAACAGGTCAGTGTCATCTATCTTGATTTTAGAAGGGCTTTGGAAACTCTGTGTCATTCTCATAAGCAAGTCAGTAAAAGATGGCCTAAGCAAGCCACATTAGGGTGAGCACAAAACTGGCTGAATTACAGTTCCCAGGGAATTGCCAGCTGTGGTAGGTGGCTGCCCTGGGGCTCTCCAGGGCTTATTGCTGTATTTGAGTCTTTTTTTATTGTTTTCATCAAGAATCTGGCAGATTTGTTCATTAAATCAGCAGATAACATCAGACTGGGAGGGACTGGAAGTACCTTAGAGGATTAGAGTATGAGCTGAACACGACTAATAGAGTCTGGGGAGAAAAAAAAAAAAAAAAAAAAGATGGGAATAAAGAGAAGTCATTGGGCTTAGTAGGGAAGAGGCAGTGGATCTTCATGAAAGAATTAAATTGGGCCAGGGCAGCTCAGGAGTTATTGCCTGTCAGCAGGGTCTTGCAACTATGAAAAAGGCATAATTGTACTGACAGGTACAAATAGGAGAATAGTTTGCAGGACAGAAGAAATAAATCCATCAGCTATACTCAGCACTGAGAAGGCCGTAGCTGGTCTCTCTGTCCTAACCTTGGTGCCATTCTCCCAGAAAAGAGCGGTGCCAAAACCTTGAGATACAGAAAACAGGAGCTATGGAGCAAAGAGGAGCGCACAGGAGTTGTTTCAGACTAAAGGTGAAAACAGCGTGGAGAGGAAAGGGGAAGTGGTTTTCAGATCAAGACAATTATTGTAAAAAATGACGGTATTAACCTATTCTACCTGTAAGGTTAAATGACAAATCAAGGACTTGAATTGCAGATGATACTGTACCAACATCAATGGCTTCACGGTGCAGAAATTGGCTACCTGAGGTCACCTGGGGACAGTATAGAAAAGCATCTGTCAGGAAGGTCGTGGCCGACCTGATTCTGCCTTGGGGCAGAGGGACAGGGGTTGGGGTGGCCTCTCAGGACTGTTCTGCCTCATTTTTCTGTGATTTTCTGTGGTGTTAGGCCACGGGCCTCTCCTGGAGCAGAGATTACATCACCTCCATAAAGCTCAAACACTTCTTTCTTCAGTTATGGATGTTTTTAAGGCAATTGGCTACCTGAAGCCTGGGGAAAACCAGTCTGGTGAGTTCATCTGACTAGGGACAGTTTCTGATAGTGATATTTCCCTGGGAGTCTTTTAATTTGCTTTAAGTGTATCTATTGATATCTCCTGACAGATAGGATCTCCCTTATCACTGTTTCCTCTCCTTCGAAGCAGGCTGACGTTTTGGGCAGTGGGTGAGAGGGGGACCCAGCCCACCATTAACTGTGTGGAGCACCATGATCTGCTTTGGCTTGTTTGGCACAGGTATTCTCAAATCCAGTATAACAGGTTATTTTTCCCCAGCGTATCTCACTGTAATCAGCCCTGGTGAAACATCAGAAGGCAGCTCTCAGAATACGATCAAATGGATTAATTTAGTATTTTTGAGTGTGTTTATCAAGACTCACCTCTTCCTTTTTTATGCGCAGCACAGTAAGGCTCCTTACTATAGCTTTCTCTCACTTATTTCAGTAATTTATTTCACAATATCTGCAGCAGATGCTGAGCTTGATTCTATTATTGTCAGGGTTTTTGATTATGTTTCTCAGAACTGGTAACTGGTTAGAGCAGTTCAGGAGCATGGGTTTTGTCCCTTTGCTGTTAGTCAGACTGGTTGAGCAGAAGCAACCAGTTAGCCAGGTTCCCAGGTCAGGTGCTCAGTGTGCATGTTGCTCCTTACGACTGAATCATGAAGGGGGACTTAGATCCTCCTTGTGATATATCTCTTGAGGTTACACACTATGGATCTTTCTGCTTTGACTTAGTCCTATGCTGAAAACCCTCTCTGAGCTGGAAGTTACTCTTCATGCAGTCTGTTAAATCCAGGTACCTCCCCATGCCTGTGACTGTGGCATCTCCAACCTAATACCAGATGTCTTGAAAAGGAAGGTTATGGCCACTAAATAGAAGATTATGTCCTTTTCTTACCTGTGGTGAATTTTTCTATTTCTCTTGCTACTGAACCAAAGACTCTGACTTCTTTGATGTAGTCTTGTTGAGACAGGACCTCTACAATCTTCTCCCCAATAAAACCACATCCTCCTGTCACCAGGTAGACCCAGGCTCTATCCATTTCTGAAGATGTTTTTGTGGTTGAGGAGTAGAGAGAAGCTTGTTGCCAAGATCCTACCATGTGCTGTTTTCTCCCAGGCAATATATTTTCTGAACTAAGTCTGAAGTTTAATTGTCATATAAAGTTACTGGCTGGACATTAACGCCATCTGGTTATATATAAATCAAGTTTTCATTGGCACAGTCACACAAGTGCTGCCACAGACATACCAATGTTACATACAGGCCAATTCTGGGGTCTCTGACTCAGCCTTTCCCTTCTACCACAGTAGCCCATGATCAGCGGGGCACCTCCAGCTTGCCTTGGTATGTGGCCAGTCTCAGTCCAAACTCTTGATGCCAGAAGTTTTCCATCCTGGACAGCCCTTTCCCACGGATCAGGTTGTCAGTTACAGCTCTGGGTGCTGCACAAACCTGGTGTGTCCTAGAGATGTGCTTAGGGCAGCCACCTTTTAGTGTGAAGCTGCAAAGATCTTGTTCCCATGCACTAGTGAATTTGTATAGACGGTGTATAGCAGCACATCTCTCCAGTGCTGAGCTGTACTGTGCACAGTGCAGGCAGGGCCAGGAACGGTCACTGCAACTTTATGATAACTGACACTACCAGTCTGATTATCTAGTATGGCTCTCCTGAATGAATTCTTTGAGTTGGACTATATCCATACACACACACATGCTTATGTAGGGGGAGAAAGTCCTCTCATAATTTCAAAAAAGTCTAGTAGTAAAAGCTCTTACCACATCCTCTGGCAAATTGTTACAATGGTTAATTATCATCATCATTACAAGAGTGCACTGTTGTTATTTTATCTGTCAGATGGTGGCTCATATACATTTTCCTTGCTAGACTGCAAATGATGTGTGCTATCCAGTCTGTCATGTGGACAAAACACAAACAAACAAAAGGATTGGCTTTGCCTAAGGGTGCTTGATCCTGTCCTAAAGCAGGATGGGGAGAGGGGTGCTGCGTGGGAAAACCTGCCCTCTGGCACAGCAGTTGCTCTCTCTGTCTCTCATAAAGAGTCTCGGAGATAACTAAGGCCTGATCAGCTACCAGTCTCTCTTTGATGCCAAGCAAATTTTTTAAGTCTGCAGTAGTCAAATATTTCCCAGCTCGTCTTTGAACTAACTTGTCACTGGTTTTGGTGAACTGCAGACACACTGTCCTAAGAGGTAGCAATGATAAAGAGGGTAATGTAATCGCCCTGCTTACTTTTTTCTTTATAATTTGTACAGCATAGTAGTTGCTCTTCTGGCCATCGTGTTGCTTGGGAAGCTCAGGATTAGTTTGGTCCCGTATCAGTATCACTGCATTCCCCATCCCCACTTCCCCAGCCTGTGAGCACGGGTTGCAGGTGCTGAGTCAGGCTGCATGGGTGTAGGGGTACTCCTGGTAGCCCTTCCCTGGTCTCATATAACAGGTTAAACTGTGGAGAGCAACTCCAACTGCATGAATGTAGAAAATAATATTGTCAGATCTGCTCTTACTATAGCATTAATGCTTGTCTGTCTTTAAAAAGTAAGCTGTATAGCAACTTGCTTCTCAGCACGTGGTTAATGAAGAGTTAAGGCAGAGTATTCAAAGAGTAACTGTGGTTTGTTTGTGAATATATGTATTTTTTTTCTTTTAATCATCTCCTGCTAGAAGTTCAGTCTGTTCAACTCTGCCATTGATTTTTCTTGTGCTGTGTTAAGCATTAGGAAAAGTGCTGTTTCCCCTTGCTGTGATTACAATCAGTGGCCATAATGGCCCAGAGACCAACACGGGCCTGATGCTAATTTGGTGTTTGGCAGACCAGCACAGCCACAAAAGTCCCAAGAAATTAATTTTGCCTTTTATCCAGCAACTCCCAATCTGTACAGTAGTGATTAACAGAACCGCCTTCCCTCAGAGGACTTTTTGCAAGGATAAATACATCAGAGTTGGAGGTGTTAGGACACAAAAACCAAGATAAATACACCCAGAGAGACCCAGAGGAGTGTTGCATGGGAATGTTTGGCATCAAGTAACCTTGAGTATGTCCTCATCAGCGATGCAAAAAGCTGTACGAAGCAGAGGCCTTGGTGCTGTGGACATTTCTCAGTGTTTACAAGACCTAGGCTTTGCTGCAATATTGGTATCTGCATATCTGCAGGGTAATCTGTGGGTGGGCGGAAAAAAAAATCAGTTGCAATTTACATATCTTGTTTTTGTTAGGATACAAAAAACAAGTTCAGAAACCAGAACTGTGACGTCTCTGTCAGAAAGAGCCCAGGTCCTCTCCTACAGCCAAGGCTCACAGACTACAGCCTCCCTTTGCAAACAGACAGGTAGCTGCATTTAAATGGGTAGTTGTTCCCATTTAATCAGAAAAAAGTCCTTAACCACTTTCTCTTCTAATAGTTTGAATTGTCACAAGAGGTGAGGCCTCTGGGCGGCTCCATAAGCCCAGAGGCAAATTCAGAGACAGTAGAAGTGGGCAAATACAGCTGCTTCTGGAGGAGGGAGATGCCCAGGAGGTGCCGGGGGGTTGCAGGGAGGGGGCCTGGGCAGTCCTTGCTGTCTTAGATCAGCCAACTTGACTTCCTTGAACAGTAAGGAAATTTATGAGGAAGTGAGGCAAGTTGCAAATAACAGTTTTTAATTTACACTCTTACCTCTCTGTGGCTTGTTCCCCCTGGCAGAGTCTGCTGCAGCCCCCAGGTGCCCCAGCTCAGCTGAAGGACAGCTGTGATCCCTCTACCTGCACTGCACTAAACCTGCTGCAGGAATTGGGGGGGGCTTTTCCTGCGGGAAGGACTCTGCCATGTCCAGGTGGTGCAATGCAAAGCAATGCTCAGAGCTGACACTGCTTGAAGGCTCACCTAGGCTGCTTGAGGAACTAAATGCCTCACTACGAAGGCAGATATGCCCCTGTATTTGGTTAGTGTGGCTGGGAATGCAGAGTAGTGACCAAGTGCATCCTAGAGACAAATCTCAAACCTCGGAGGTGGCAGCTGTGCTTGCTGAAGCAGTCTAGCCGCTACCTGCAGAAGAGTCAGTCCCATCACGGGCAAGGAAACGGTCAGATTTGGCTTTAGATACTGGAGGCCCTTTTGGCCCCTCCACCTCACAGAAGACAACCAGAAGCAGGGTCTTTATGCACAGTCTTGTTTTTTAAGAGACCTGCAAACACAGAGCAAGTTGAGATGGCAGGAAAAAAAACCAGATGCCCTAATTTCAAGATGCTGTTTGCTTCAACTTGCTCTGAACTCTGTAAATACAGGACACCTGACATCACATTCATTTACAGTATGTTTATTTCTCAGTGCATTACATGAAAGGTCTTTGGTATTTGTGGGTTCTTGAATACTGTTCCCACTCTGCTCTGTAAGAAAATGCTGAATACAAAACATTCCATATACAGTAACAAAACCCATAGCAAATAAAGAGAAATAGATATTTTGAACAATAACATAGCAATATGAAAACAGATAAGTAACCATGCAAGAAGTGGAACAAACAGGTTGTGTTTACAACAAACATTAGAGCTTGCCATAAATGAGTTCATCATGTCAGATGAGATTTATTCTTGCTCTAAGTTAAGAAATTACACGATTGCAAGATACTGCATATGGCTGCCCCATAAAGGGCTGCATGGTTGTAAAGCTTATTACAATGAGAGAAGCCGGGACCATTTGCACACATATGAAACACACTGATATAAATAAAAAAATACTGTGTAAAATAACTAGTGAAAAAGTTAACATTTCCTTCTATGGATGGGAATGTGCTTTGTGAACAGTTATAGCACCTTTGAGTTGCTTGGTTTCAATGCAATTACAGAAACTGTGCGTAGTTTAAACCCCTATACCACCAAACACCAGAATGGAATGTAATCTTGAATAAGACAGAAGCTGTAAACATGCAGGAGAATAGATTTCCAATAAATTGTATCGAGAAGTAATTCCAGAAGCTGATTGTCTTTTAGAAGCCTTTGTCACAGTGGTCAGGTTCCCACATTAAAATAGTTCATTGAAGAGATTGGGAGTGAACCCCAATCCCAGAGCCAAACTCTCAGAAAGCTGCTTGTGAGCCATCTGCTCTGCTCCACTGAAAGCAGCACCAGTCCGTGCTAGCTGAAGATTTGGGTCTGATTTTTCTCCTGTTCCCTTGAAAGTTGATGGCAAAATTACTGCGGAGTTTGGTGGGAGCAGGTGAGGGCTCTTCTCTTTAGTTTACTCCTGTTTCCCTGGGTTGCTATGGATTCTTTACAGTAAGTGCAAATTAGATACTCTGGAGAGAAGTATCTCTGCCTCTCAGGAGTACCAGATTGCTGGTGAACATCAGGGTGCACGAATTGCAAAGAGTTTTGGTTGTGCAACGTGCTGCTGCTGCTTCTGGTTAGCTCAAGGCAAGGAAAATGCATTACTACTACCAGAACCAATCCCAGTCAAAAACACATCGGAGCTCAAAGAAACATTAAGAATTTTTAAAAAGTCTTAGGAAAAAGAAAGAAAAGGATAAGAACACACTATGGTATTGCACAGTATGCATGTAAGATAAAGCACTAAACATTTCAATTAAAATCTATTTCTAAATGAGCACACATTCAAAATAAATCCATTCTAAGTTACATAGACATGGCAAGATGCATTATATGCCCTGGCTAAAATGAGCCTTAATATCCTGCCTAAGATGGAAAATGTGGTTGCAGTGGTTTGCTTAGTCATGAATATCATTAATGTCAGCGTGTGAGGCTGTGTTCACCTTTAAAACATAATTAAACTGGGACTGCACAACAGTGTGGTCCAACCCTTGTGTAAGTAGAGAGGAATGAAACCCCAGCTGAGAGAGAAAGTCCATTTGGTATAACCCTACTGTCACCCAAATTAAAGATACAGTACCGCATAAGAGAGTGATGTAGCTAAGTAAAGCAAGAAGTGTGGGGTGAAAAAAAAAATTACATAGCTCATACAGAAACCTGGAAAAGTCAATAATTAAAATGGTTGCAACCCAAACCTAACCAGTCTTCTGACAATGACTTGGCAGGATTTGTTGCAAACAATTGCCATTAGATTTCCTTTCATTGTGCCAGTAATTTGTTTTAAATAATTTAAAATCCAAAATCCTAGTCAATATAAATTACTTGAAGAGAGCAATCAAGCTAATACAATAGCTTTGAATTCAGGAAGACAAATATGGAGGAAGAAAAATTTCTCTTTGAATTCAGTGTGAAGGCCCCAAAATGTCAGGGAAGTGAACATGGCCTCAGTGTATCCCTCTTCCTCAAATTCAGCCCTGTAGCTACAGGACCAGTGAAACTAAATTTTGCTGTTTCCCTTTTTAAAGATTGCTTTGGTTTAGTTTAGTTCCTGAAACTGCCGTGAGGAAATTTTCTTAATGTGGCAAGCGACTACAGCTAGCACCAGCTTGCCCAGTGTACACATTTAGACTGAACTTGGATTTCTCCCCAGCCTTCAGGGCCTGATTTTCCATCACCTACTGGTGGGCATAAGGGGTCCTCTCCTGGAAGCCACCAGCTGTGTCTTGTAATGTCCACATGATCAGGACCAAGATGGGCCCTATTCAGCGAAGAGGTGATCAAGTACTTTGCAATTCCTACAAGGTAATAAGCCTGTAAATGGGGAAACATCTTTTTTTTTTCGTGTTTAATTCTTAAATGGAAAGATTATGCCAAGAATATATCAGTGGCTGCACCATACTTAGCTGTCCATCAACAGAGAGCTAATTGCCCTCATGGTAGTGAAGGGAGGGACGTGGGCTGCTGTACAGCACTTCAGTCATTCTCCAAGTGTTGGAAAGTTGAGCTATCTGTATTTGTGACTGATTTGAGGCTGAGAGCTGGTTGCCAGCCTTCTTTAAGACACTGATTTAATTCAGGATCTTTTATATACATCCTGTCATTAGAGTTAGCACTGGATTTAGAGTTGGTGTTGGATTTGAAACGAAGATGCATTCAAAGCTACTGTGTTTTATTCTCCCAAAAGGATTATGAATACAGTTTGACTTCTTGAAGTCAGTAACCTGCTTGACATGGGCAGTTTTACTTGTTTTCTTGTCTTCTGACTATATCACGCTCCAGCTGTAATTCAGAGCATAGGCAGGCAAAGTAATGCTGGAGCCCGAAACATCAGCTCTTGGCAAAACGCTGCATTCACTTCAGCTGTTGGAGTCTTGGGGAAAGACAGCATCTGATCGTACTCCACGGATGTTTGTAACGCTGTGGGCTTGTTTCTTTGAAATGTCCAAAGGAAAACTTGAGCATACAGAAGTATAACCTGAATTACGTGGGTTGACTGCCCATGAGCTCCACCACTAGCATTAGCCAAGCATCATGCGGAGGATTCAAAAGCACGGCAAGTAAATGCATTTACTGCAGCCTCCAAGCCAGCTTAAACCAAGGCTGCTTATTATTTAGCTGTACAGCAGTAAAAAGCTTCTGTATGAGGGCAAGTTTCCCTGGTGCTTGCTGAGCATCAGTTTACACCATTTTACATGTTTCGAGAGGAATGGTTGGATTTCTAAAGAACAGGGCCAGATGAAGACAGATAGTGAATTCAGTCATCCTGAAGTAGCCTGTGATCTGCTCATTTCTGAAAATATCCTGCCCTTCAGACGAAAGATTTGGATGTTCTGATGTCTCTGTAGGTCTACCATGTTTACAATGTATACAGACAGCTGTATCTTGCACTAGGAAACTGATAGAATGTCACCAATTTACCTGACATGCCATAAAATGACAAACACAAACTCAGTTGGCTTCCTTTCATCCTGGGCTGAATTTTAAAATTGTCAGAACAGGGGGAAGGGAAGAATTTTCTTTAAAAAAAATTAAGTACCATCAGTTCTGTTGCTTAGTCTCACCCTTTCTAACAAAAATCACTGTCTACATTAATGACATCAACTTGTCCCATTTGGTTTGCACAGCAGGTGTAGTGAGTCATTTGTCACTGAAGGGCAGGTTCAACTTCTTAACCCTGGAGCTGGGACTTCCCCCAAACGGCAAGTTATTGCAAGAAGTAAAATGACTTTGTATTTAACTCCCAGTGCAAGATACACCCTTGACAAAACTCTAATTCCTTAGGTAGTGATTATCCTACACTGTCTGCAGATTCAAATGGCAAGGATTTACTGACAAAATAAAAAAAAAATAAAAAAGCAAACAAAAAAAAACAGTGTAAAAACATTTTTCCTTATTGATGTAGGATTAAGAAACTATTGCAAAATATCCTTTTCCATTAATAGTTATTGCTACTACTTAAATTAATTATCTCTGGATGTATGCACAAGCTGAACGCAATATGGGAAAATTCTTGCACAATTCCATCATATCTCATACAAACGGCTCTATATTTTCATAGTAACACATAGAATCTCAATGAATATAGATAGAAAGTTAATATTGCCATGAACATTTGCATCAAAAGTCCTTGCTTAACCAACCATTAATAGAAATAATGCCACTCACATACAGTTAGCAACACGAAAAGCCAAGATTTTGATGCTAAATTCCAAGAGTAACCTGAATTGTCTGAGTAACAGTTTTAAATGTTCTTTGAATTTTCCAATTTGTTCTTTGCTTAAAAGAAATCCTTGCAGATGAGAATGCTTTAATGGCCTATGAAAGTGGCATCTTCACCTGGAAGTCAGCATGACACCACCACGTGAAATAAAAGCAGATGTCATCAACTATGCCAATGGACAAGGCTAAGGCTTGGCTCTGAGTCTAGATGGGACTGATTACCTCAGCTAGTTAAGCAGTGCTTTAACTGAGTAACTTTCAAGGGCAGTGAGGAAACAAGGGGAGGATTAAACTCTAGAGACACCATCAGGAGGTGTCATTTCTGTAGACAGCTTCTGAGGATACCTGCCATCTGGTATTCCAAAGGCAAAACAACAAAATCAAGAAAAATGTTCATAGGACCCTCTCTGAGCTATGGCTAAGACATCCCCTGCAATAAGGGCGTAGTATTGGCCAGGCAAGGAAACCCAACTGCCAAAACTGCAGCCTCCTACCCACTTCATTTGCACTCTGCAATTAAGCACTGGGATACTGTATCTTTAACTGGTGAAAGGCACGGAGAACACACAGAACGCTCCTACTTCATCCGATTGCTTCTCCTTTTGGCTTCACTGTCATCCAGCAGTGAAGAGAGGATCTGGTAGGCCTGTGGCTGCTGGGGTCCTCCACGTTTGATCTTGATGCTGGTTCGCAGAGGGGAGCCCGGGATCACATCTTGTCCAGAGCCTGGCTCAATGGAAGATAAAGAGTCTGTAAGGAGAGAAAGTCACGGGAGAGCTCTATTTAAAAGGGGAGGCTAAGGAAAGTGTAAATGGGCCCTTCTGAATGATACCTCTTCTGGAAGAAGTGTCATCCCTCGTGTTGTCTTTCCATGCAGCAAGCAACTGTGGCACTTACACGTTTGCTGCTGTCACACTACTCCTATATTAGGTCTTTTCCCTCTGCGCTGTCTAAACTCTTTGGGGTAGGTACTCTGACTGCGTGTGGCTCAGTAGGTCCTGTTCCCATTTGTAATTCCATTTATAAAGCGCTGTTCTTTTATTGATCATAAATTTCCTTGGGCTATAGCTGCTACTCAGCATTGCCCACAGATTCCTGTTATTGAAGGATGAGGCCAAGTGGTCACTGGGAAGTGATGCTCCTGAGGGTTTAAGTTCCATTTCACTCCTTGTAAAGGAGGACATTCTGAGGCACTGAAAAAAGTGAACAAAAGGATTGATCCGCCCTAGGCTACTGCCAAATTAGCAATAAAGCTGGGAATAAATATTAGCTGTCCATTCTCCCAGCATGCCTCGTGGTAACACACACCTCCTCTTTCTACAGCATCCTGCCCTATGAAGCTAAATATACATTTGACCATGGCCCCTCTTCTGTTTTCCCAGCAGTCAGCAACAGACGCTGATAACTCGATGCTGCCTCATCATTTTTAATGCCCTAGTTTCCTCTTCCTTTTGCCGTCAGAGATGGACATTTGCTTGTTTCCCTGCCAAGAGCACAACCTCACAAAGCCAGACACCCAGACTTAGTTTGATCCCACGAGGCAGCATTTGTTTCAAATGAGCATTTGACTGCTGGAGGATTTGTACTGCGCTTGCTGGAGGTAAACAGGGCTGGGCTGCCCTCAGCACTCCGCTGGGCTAGAGAACCTCAAACTGCCCCTCCACCCCAGAGAATAAGTTTGTTTGCTGGTATGTTTTGCCTTGTTGCTTGGGTGGCTGTGGTTTTGGAAACCGCACCGATTGGGAAGTTTCTTGGGAAAATGAGAGCATGCGCTTGGCATTTCTGCGTGGGTCTTAAAAGCTGGGCTGAGTTGGGCTGCCCAGGAACCTGTGGTAAAATCCTTAACACCTACAGTGGGAATATGACTAGCTAGTTGGTGCTGGGTAATTTAAACCTGTGTGGTGCCTTTCAGTGCAGGGAGGTCTGTGCTCAAGGATATTCTGTTTTGTTATTTTACGTCTTTTTCTGTCTTTTTTTTTTTTTTTTTTAACCATATACACATAAAGGGATGAACATAATTGTACAAGGAAAAAAAAAAAAAGTCTTAATTTCCAAGTTCTCTTTCTAAACAGTATTGTTGTAGGGCCTAAAATATGTCTTAAGTTAAAGAGTGGAACTATCTCAAAAGCAGAGAGTGAAAACAAAATTATCCATACTGTTATTTAATAAAAAAGAAACTATTTATATAAAATCATACAATGTAGGTGTTTAAAGATGGCCTTAACTATACTTTACAATTAAAACCCATCCATTTTTGCCAATGCAGTTACACTGGCATAAAAGTATACATGGGTATAAATAACTTGCCTCCATCGCAAGCAAAAACAGAAAATACATTTGTCAGTAAAAATGGTTTGCCAAAATGACCATTTCAAAATAACAGCAGCACATGCCTTGTTGGTGCTGTGATGCCAAACAGACAGTGTATAAAATAGATAAATCAGGCAGTTCTGCAGAGGTAAAGCTTCATGAATTCTTCCAGTGTCTATATAGGCTTCCTGAAGAGCTGACATTTTCCTTTATACTAGTATAAATGAAGGTACCAAGTAAAAGATTGAGGGCCAGGCCCTGGGTCCTGTAAATACACTGCTCTGTGCTTATGGACCGGGTTCCCCTTCCCCTCTTGCCTAGAGAACATACAAGCTGGGCATGGATTGCTGCCCGGGTAAGGTAGTGGGCATCTTCCTGGTACCTCCACCATCTCAAAGCAAAGAAGCACAAAAACATCTCTTCCTGCCCTTGGTGTATAAAATCCAATGAAAGGATGAAGCAAACTAGGATTAATGCAGAGGTAAGGTCAGGGTGACTGTGGTTAAATCATGAGTTTGTGATTCATGATTTCCCGAAAAGCTTAAACTGTTGCTGCCTATTGCTTCTGGAAATAGTCCTTTGGGCCTCTAAAAGACACATGTCCATTGAACAGTGAAGAGCAGTTCTGAGACCCAAGTCAGATCAGCCAGATACCAGAGCATCGTGTACTGAACCTGTCTAGGCCTTTAAGTGCTGAGCAGCATTTTCATTTTAGCGCTCTGCTGGCTCCAGAAGGAGCTTGTGGGCTCTCCAAGCATGCTGCCTTTAAGTCACATACATGCACTTTAAGCCACTTGCTTAGGAACTGCTGGACGTTTTATCTCTTTAGCATTTTCATAGGCTAAATTAACATCCAAAGGCCACTTCATAATAAAAGTGAATGTCACTCTGAAGGAGGGTGTGAGCAGCTCGCTTTACAGGTGAGGTCAGGAATGAGGTGCCATGTGTGAAGGAGAAAATACGAAAGAAAAGTGCTGTGGGACTTGGTTTAAAAATGCTCATCTTAGTGTCAAGGCTGGGACAGTAAATCTAAACAACATTTTGACTCTACTGTGTTTCTGAAAGGGGATAAATTGGCACAGCAGCTTTTGGCAGCTGTGAGAGAATTGATCCTTGAGTACCCCCAAGGGAGAAGTCTGATCTGTGGTGGTTGCACAAGCCCATACTCTGGTTAAGGGAAGAAAACACTCATTAAGAGACGATGCCACACTCTGTACCAGTGATGTTTAATAGCCTCAACAGAAAACTTAACATCTATCTGAACAAAGAACACATGAGACTTTCTTTAAATATGACTGTGAAAATAGGTTTTATGTAAGTTATAATCATCAGACATTCAGGGATCACTGGTTTTCAGGGTAATGTGTGGCACTGTTTGGGCTTTCTCTGTAAAATACAGTTCTACACAAGGCAAGGGCCTCGGTGGTGTTAAAATCACTTGGAAGACCCTGTTAACAGGATGAAATGATCTGGCCCAGAGACGTGAACAAGCAGCTCCCTGGGAAGCTGGTAGATGATCTGCACCGCATGGCTTGAGCTGCTGCTTGTGACCTGGCTTTCTGAATTGTAATAAAAATTATTGTGGGGGTCATTTCACCTGCTACTGTAAAGCCAGAGTAACCAGTGCAGTTGGTGGAGTTCTAGGTTCTCAACAGTTCTAAGCATCCTTTAAGTCATGCTGGGTACCTAATTTTGGAAACCCAGCTTAAACAGATACTAGACAGCGAGTTCAGGAGACTGGGAGGATGTTTAACCATCAAGCAGCTGCCTGAACAGAGCCCCCAGCTGTCTAGAAAAGAAAACCTTAGCGACGCTTACCATGAATTCCTATCATGTGCTCAAGAATTAATACCCTCTCAGCTAAGATCTTCAGAGCTTCTCGAAGTTGTTGAACACCTTCCCCCTGCAAGAAGGAAAAGAAAATCAACATTGGTATATGTTGCAGAATAGGCTTCTTGTTCATAATGTTGCCTCCATAATGCCAGACTATGCAGTGTGAATGTTTCAAATGAAAAGATGTAAAAGGTGAGATAAGCTCCAAGGGTTAAGTGGAAATGCAGGAGAAATACCTATTTAAAGAAAAACTCCTCAGTTATACCCCATGTTTGCAGAGCTTCTGACCCAAAGCCAAACCTTTCCATTTGGTTCCTGCTTCTGCAGTGGGCCAAACCCAGGGTGTATATTCCTGTCAAACCTTTATAATGTGCAGCTTATGTTAACAACTATGCTGAACTACCTGGAGAACAGGTTTCACTCTCATCTGACATTTACTCTGAACATCAGGGAGTTACCTGGGCTCACTCTTTTTTTGGCACACCGGGAAACCATCTAGCTGCTCCTTATATAAGCTGGAACAGTGGCGTGCAAGCCCATCCTGGTGGGCTTCACGCTGCCTCTCACATTGCTCCTACCTGGGTCACGAGCTGCCTGAAGCCTTGTCCAGATACTTTCGACTCCACTCAGGCTGCAGTTTGTTGCCCTTATTGCCTTAGATATGAGCTTCAAGGGACAGATGTTCGTAAGTATTTTAGGGTGGGAGAGCAGAGATGTGAGAACTCCAACTCTCTCTCGGCACATGAAGTTTAATCTCTTCTGGGAATCTGTGCCTGGGCTTGTGGGAGGGACAGCGGGGGAGTAATTCCCTGCCATGTAGCAGCTCTGTGTGGCAGAACAACCGCTGGGGACTGAGGAGGTATTCAGAGAGCATAGTGAGAAGGGCAGCTGACAACGTGGCCAAGGAAACCTCAAAACCCAGGATTTCTAGCATGTATTGAGATCAAACCCAAGGTTCAAATCATCTCTTACTCTGCACTTTTAACTGTGGACAGGACCCTTGCCCTCCTCAAAGCAGCCTTTCAAAGGGAATATGGTTGAAGCACAGTAAAGAGACAAAAATGAAAGTAAACCAATAGTAGAAATACATGCTTACATCAGCACCTTTGTCACCTTCCTCACCCTTCTTGCCTGGTTCACCCTAAAACAGACAAGAAAGAGAAATTTGTTTTCATGTGACTGAGGACCCTGTCCAGGATTATTTTCATCCCTTCCCTCTAAAGGTACAAATTAAAGGCAGAAGTGTTTCACCAGCAGAAAACAAACTGACTCTCTGGCACTTCATGCCACAGGCCAAAGTGCTCTTGTGAGCTCTGGCCTGGTTCCCATCAGCTTCCCAGGAGGTCATCACCACCAGGAGTGGCCCAGCTTCAGGAGAGGCTGGCTGCCATGACCTGGGCCCACAGCAAGACAATATACATCTCATGAAGATCTCAACGAGCAATGCTTTTATCTCACACCAAGATAAAACTACTGTTCCCTTCCCCAAAAGGTGCACATGTTCATTATTTAGAACATAAAATCCTACATTCTTCTCTCATTAATTAGTCACATCACTTTCTGCCTCTGAAGATGCTCATTAAGCTTTTCTTGAACAAAGACCCCAATGTGCTGCAAACATTGGTCTGATGTTCCCCCCTAACCAGGAAGTTCATGCATTTCTCAAAGGACAGATGACATGGAGAGATTAAACCACAAGCTAAACACAAAACAAGGAAAAGGGTTAACAAACTGCTGAATTAAATAGAGTGGAAATGCCTGGGCTCCTCAAAACTTGTTGGACATCCCTGAGATACTTGCAAAGGAGAGGTGGGTATGGGAGGAAGGACTGAAGAAAAGGTTGTGAGAACTACAAAATGATGAGGTGGAATTAAGAAAGAGAATGAGAAACCTCCCAAAGGATCTTGGACCTGTCTTGATGCTGCCAGCCAAAGAAACCCACTTGCTCCACTAGCTTGCTCTCAGCCAGCCTTCATCTCCATGGGTTTGTTTGCACCCTAGCCATATGTTCCACTGCAGACATCTCCTGTGTTCAGGTATTGCCAAGAAATCATCTGGAGACATCTCTTAATCTCACTAAAGGGCTTCCAGCTCAGCTTGGCAAACCGAAGTGCAAGAGGGAGTTGAGAGCAGCTGATGTACTTTGAGTTGTTTAACAGTGCCCACGTTTGGGCTCTGGGTGCCAGGAACCTCACGGGGCAGGGAGGGGGCTTCTGTCTGCCAAGGTTTGGCTAGAGGGGATCTGAAAGCAAAACACATCTCCTCTGCTGGTGTGACACCTTCCTGATCACAGCATCTCAGCACCATCCTTAACATGCAGGAAGACTATGTTTCATTTACAGAGGAATACGTTAAGGTGAGGCTGCCTATTGAACAAATGTCTAAGCTGGAGACAGTTGACCTAAGCATTGCATCTGAGAGAGCTGGTTGAACCAGCTGCAGTCCAGCTAGGTGGTATTTATGGCGCCAGGCAGGCACCAAACCCATCTGAGTCTTGCACACACCCGCAAGTACATCACTTACAGGAAATCCCTTAATGCCCCTCTCTCCAGTCAGACCTGCTTGCCCCTGTTGGAAATAAAGTAAGTGTCATTAGGAGATATTTTTCCATTTGACAAGAACATAGTGTAATTTTTACTAGTGGAATTAAGATGGCTTAAAACCTTACACTTGGGATAATATGAAAAATTTCCTTTCCCTTGACGTTATCACTTAGAGACAGCAAAGGGGGGTCATGGTTTTCTGTCAAGTATCAGCTCTAAATCCAATCACACTTTAGAGAAGTTTGGTTCAATACAGAGCTGCTCAGCTCAGTACCCTCACAGTAAGATGATTAGCAATTTTTTGAACTTTACAGCAGTCAGTTACATTATACCAGGAAGGAATTTGGCTGGAGATTTGTTTCTTACAAAGATACCGCATTCTTCTCTCTAGTAAAACTGATGGGCTGATGCTGCCCCAGACAGCAAACAGAGCCCAGGACTCCCACAGAGCGCTGATTTAATCTGCCTCCTGCTTCACACACACATCCCTGCGTTAACCCCAACAGCCACTGATCAAAACACACGTACAATATTTTGGTTGGTTTGTTTCTTTTTCCTGCTGTGCTAATTTTCACATTGTTCTCAGTGGGGTTTTTTTTGTTCTTTTTTTTTTTTTTTTTTCAAACAGAAATATTTTGAAACGGTATGTGTTGATCTGGGGCAGAATGAAATGCCATTGAACTGAGCATTTTTTTCCCTCTGTTTTTCTCCACAGTGTTGGTTTCCCACCCTGAAGCACGCTGGGGCAGGACAGAATCCCTGACCAGAACAGCTATAGATTATTTAATGAAAAAGCAGGAGCTTGGGGAGAGGAGGCAAATTTAGAGGCATCTTTAGAAATCCTTTGATGAAACAGCCACATATTTAACCTGGCTCTTCTCCCCTGGACATACACAGAAACAAACCCCTCTTTTTTTCCCCAAAACCCCCTACCTAGCTGGCAGCAGCTTTTTGTAGTTTTTGACAAAAAGGGACATCTGCTTTGGTTTTCTGTCCATCAAACTGCTGCTTTGTATAAAACCAATGGGCCTTGGGCATCTACAAAACATCACTACGGAGAGCTGCCCAGTGCTCGGTGAGCAGCTAGACAGCATGAGACAAAGGCCTGTATCGACACGAATTGCGCTGGGAGGAAGCCCCAGTTTGTCAGGTGCTCTGAGCATCTTCAAAGGGAAATACTTGGATTCTGCACTGGAGGGAGCAAGGTCTGTGAAAAAGCACAGGCAAGAGGCAAATAACAGAGAGAAGACATAACAACGTACTCAAAATACATAAACAGACTGTTCTCTGTGTCCAGGAGGAACAGAAAGGATGTTATCAGCTTAAAGAGGATCAAAGGATATTTAGACTGGGTGTTAGAAACATCTTTCATCCTAGGCCTTCACTAGCTGTACCTCTGAAGACTGCCTGGAGATGATGTGCTGCATCCTCACTGGCACTGTTTAAGAATAAGATGAACAGAGGCTGATCGTGAGTGGCACACATAGATGTGCCATCCAGGGGATGTGCTCAGATTGCTTCAAGTCTCGTCTACATCTGTTCTCGCTGAGATTAAGCAGGGAGAATGTATAATAACATTTTCTTAAATCTCAATAGATATTGTAAACCCTCCTCTGCGTTTCTTTGCAGCTGCACAGCTCCTCCGCTCTGTGTAAAGCTAGCCCTAATTTGTATCCACCAAACCCAAAATTGCAGCATGTAGTTGTCAAAACCAGCATGCAAATCCATACTCACAAAAGACAAAAAGCACACAGATCATCCTACAGAAATTCTGCCAGAAAAAGCTATTGGCTTTGCTTTCCACACTAACAGAGGAAGGACAGGAAATAGAATTTATTTTTTTCTATTTAGCAAGACATTCTGATATTTGAAAATTTCATTTTTCCCAAACCTAGAAGGAGAGTTACTATTCTGAATATCTAACAAGGAGGGAACAAAACCGAAGTCTAAAGGATTTGTCTGTACTGAATCGACATAGTGCAACAAAGCTTTTGTTTCAAAGTAATATGGTCAACCACAAACTAAAGCAAAAAGTTAAATGAACCACTGAGAAAGAGCTCTTATCAGTTTCCTGTATGGAAACTTGACACTTTGCCATATATCATGCTTTTTTTTTCTTTTTAACTGAAAATTGACATTTAATGGTGATGAGCTGTAGTTGGTAACCTGTGCTGAAACCTTATCAGTTAAGGTTTTGCGCTCTATCAGAATTTTAAATTCTAGTCCCAGAAGTGCATCAGTCTCTAATCTACTAGTAGAGCCAATACATGCCCGAAGTGACTGATCTGCACAAGGAAACTGTTATTAAAACAAATTACTGAAAGTCACTTAAAATGGTGATTTCTTACATAACAACAAGCACCAAAAACATTGTGAAAAGATGCTCAGATAAAGCAGAGCTTTTTAAAAGCATATGTGCTGCATCCTCAGATATCTGCTGCTCCTTGATGTCAAGTTTCTCAGGAGACAATGAAACAAGCCACCTGGACTTGCTCTCCTTGCACGTGGTCTGGACAGAGGAACGTACTATACGTCTGTTGCTGGTTTTTCGCATGAATTTGGGAAGTCATCAAATTGGAGTGAACCAATCTGCATTTGTCTTTCTTGGCTCTCTCAGACATCCCTCTGTCTTTTGGATTGGAAGAATGAGCAGAAATGAAGAAGAGGAAATGCTGTCAGATGGGGCAAGCATGTCATCTACAGCCACTACGTGGAGGTGGTGACCTCCACATTCACCTCCATCCATGTGACGGTAGAGGTGGCATTTGGAAGAAAAGGGCACGTGTTTCCTACAGCTGTGGCTGTGTCAATGCTGAACAGAGGAGCTGAAGGCCCAAATGGCACTTTGAAACCCTTCCTGGTGCAGACCAGGAATCTGACACATTTAAATCCTTGTTAGATTTTTCTCTGGTATTTCCTAAACTTCACCAGTTTGGAAATAATGTTCAAAAAGCCCTTCGATCTATGTTTAGTTATTAGTGTTTGACAACCCATCAAGGACTGAAGTATATCACATAAACATATGAAGAACTTCATTTCAATATTCTAAATATATTAAGAACATCATTTGACCTGGGGAATGGCTTTGGTTCAGGAAAAGTCTGATGAGCTTTTACTGCCTTATTGCCACAGAAGGAAAGGTTCAGTTTGACCACCCAAAACACTCCACACTAAAGAGCTTTGGTTGGCAGAAAAAAGTTGGTCTCCACAAGCCTTTACATACCATGTATTTGCTACCTGGATCTCTTTAGGGAACACCAGACTTTGCAAGCAATTCAACCCTTTATCTGTACAGTAAACCATCATCTTGATTCTTGTAGAAGACTGAGAAACTCTACATTTAAAATGGTCCATGGCTATAGTCCCACAGAAATTGAAAGACCTATGCTGTATATAATTTCTGAGGCATCACCCCAGATGTTGCTGGGAATCTCTGTGTAGGTAAAACCTTACTCTCTCTCCTCGGTCTCCTTTGGAGCCTTTTGGCCCGGGTTGTCCTGGAGAGCCTGGTAAGCCCTAGAAGAGATGCAGAACAAGAAGGAATTAATTTCTACTGCGCATCCTTTGTGTAGGTGTAGTGAATACATTTCCCAGTGATCCTCTGATCCTGAAAACCTCATACACCCATTAAGGAATTGGGCTGGATTCTCTTTTATCCTCAAGCAATAACAATGGAAGCTCTGTTTGCAGGTATTCTGAGACCTATGGTTTCTGCATATCCCACTATTTGGGTCTTTTAAAGCACTGCAGGCTACTGATGTAACATTTTTTAAGGGCTTGGTATGACAGGATAGTTCTTGTTCTCAGTTACCAAGTAGAAATTAATACACAGATAGTATGGTTAACTTAAAAATCCCCACTACTTTCCCTCTCTTCATAATTGCCTCAGTGGGTGGCATGAGTAAGCATACATACCTGAAAATTAATTGGATTGTGCAGTGGAAATTATTTTGAAGCTATTCACTCACCCTAATAAACAATTTTCAAATTAAACCCAATCTCTACTAATAATTTTGCTCCCTGGGTTGAATAAGTCACCAATGGATAAGAAGGGCACAGTTTCCAGATTTCCACTAATGGAACTGCCTTGCAGAAATCAATCCAAATTCTTAACTTATCCACCCAGTGAAGCCACAGCTATAAACCAGACAGGTAGAGAATTATATTGTTTCTTTATATTCAGCATGTCATCTCCCCATGACCATATGCAAGATGCTGCTTCCACCTCAAGTGACTTGCACATCACCTTATGACAGCAGCAAATGAGACTACTGCTCCACTCCAGACCACTGGTGAATAACAACAGCCTGAGAACCCCCCATCTCTCAGCATCCAGAGAAATAAGCTTTCGAGGCATAGCTGCAAGGAGCCTGAGCGTCTGGTTAAATGGCCCGACAAGATTGGGCATTAGTGTTTTAAGGGTCTAAGGGAGGACTACTCTCCCATTTCGGCTGGGAGGCAGCACCATTAACATGTTGCTCCTTGCCTGCAGTCAGCCCCACCAGTCACCACCAAGCCTCCAGCTTGGCTACATCTCTCCCTGGCCCACAAACTCAAACTCAGGCCGGGTTTAGGAGGTTAACTAGGGCTGCCAGATGACGTAGGGCACCAGCCAGACTTGGCCCCATGTCAAACATGCAGCACGAACAAAGTTTAAGTGTCCATAAGCATCCTTTGCTCTTGACAGCTCTCAACAGTAACTTTCAGTGCATGATTACATGGGGACACTCAAGATCACTCAATCCCACAAAATGTGTTGTAAAAAAAAAAAAAAAAAAAGATTTATAATGTGTGCTGAATGTGAAAAAGCCAGACGCTCCTACAGAATCTATTTATGAATTGTGAATTGCCTTATATTTAATCACGTTAAACTGCATCTGTCATTTTGCTGCCAAATTTCCCACTGTGCTCATATCTATCTGGAGTTTCTCATCGTTCTCCAGAGCATTCACTAATTGAAATGATTCTACTACACTGGCAAACTTTCACTAACCTGCTGTCTATTGCTTCTTCAAACTGATTAATAAATACATTCTAAAAATCTCCTTTCTCTAATTTCTAGCAATTCAAATCTCTTCTTTATCTGCATCTAAGTTACATCCCTCTGGTAAGTTACTTAATGCTTCTCTCTGTGCTCTTCAGCCACTTTTATCTCTTTAATCATGCCAGATTCCTTTGAAATATTTGATGTTACTGGTTTACCTCCACATTAAGCAATACTCTTCCCAAAACTCGAGTCCCTTTGTATCAACCAACCACAATTTTGAGTAGTTTAGCAGTTCACTATTCATCATGACTTCACTTCTTCCCATTTAACCAGCTTTTTCCATTCATGTGAGTACTTTGCCCTTCTCCTATCATAGATTATTTTCAGTGAGTTTATCACACTCCATTATTACTTCCCTGCTCCACAATTTTTATATCGATAAATAATCAAAATGATGGGAATTTGTGGTATTTTTCTTGAATAGAAGGTGTGTTTCTCAAAAGCTAAACTTAACAAATTCACTTTGGTGAATTGGTGAATTCCCATTGATGCATTTTTGTTCTTTTTATGTGTTCCACAGGAAAGGCAGTATTTTTCTATCACTGTGTTAGTAAAGCCCATGTCAAATCCTTTGCATCAATTCAGGCCACAGTGTAGTGTTTTGACACAGCAACGGCAAGATGTGTTGTTATGATTAAGGGAAAAGCTGGAAAGTGCAACCTGCAACCATTTCAACCTCTCAGCACGATTCAGATTGAAAAAAAAAGGTATTAAAATCACAGAATTTAATGGGGAACAAAACATCAGATCTAAGACTTATAAACTACTCTCTCTCTTTGTGCAATGAGAAGCTGTTTCACACTCAACCCCCGACTCTGCCGCTCAGCCCCAAAGCACTAAAGCTCCTTACTTGTGATCCAGGGACTCCAATAGGTCCTGGTGGCCCTTTTGGTCCTGATGCGCCTGGTGGCCCTGGTGGGAGTCATCATTTGAGACAATTTTAAGGAGACTTAGAAGGAAAGACCCTAAATTCCAAATGCATGCACTTCCTTGCATTGCTCTGCTTAGTCTGTCAATGGGTAGGAGCTGTTCATCGATCACAGGACTACAGCATAAGCACTTCATCACACACTGGATTATTGGATACCCACATCCTGATATAGTATATCCCTATGCCCTAGGGAAGGTGTTAGAGCTCTAGGAGAAAAAACCCAGTGAAAATAGGCAGGAAGGATGTCAGTAACATGCTGCATTTCCACTGTTTAAAATGACAACTTTTGAGAAAACTTAAATGCATCCATGAAACAGCTACATCAGTGCAAGATACTACAGTCACTGTTTCTGAAACAGAGACTGGGAGGTGGCAAGGGAAGTCCAGAAGCCTGCTACAGTCTGTCTCTCTCGTGTTGTCAGAAATTGATGATGAACATGAAGGAGACAGGGTTTGGACATAGCCAGCATGAGAGGCTGACTGCAGCAAAGCAGAGAGAGTACTCTCTTCTTCTTTGCTCACTCCAGGGGCAATAAATTCTTTTAAAGTCTGTAGCACAGAAGAACCTGCTTCTAGGACGAGTTAAACACTGTCTAAACAGGTCAACTTGTCTAACACAGTCACTTAACAGATTCATTAATTTTGGAAAAATAATTATATCTCAACAGTAGCTGTTAAATTATATGTGCAAATGGGAGACAGGATGTTTGCTTAGTCTGAATTTAGCAATACTCTCTCTGCTGTAGTTGTCACAACCTTGAGATGAAACAATGTGGACATTATACACAAACTACAGCTGAATCAGCCCCAATCATTGACGCACCATACAAATACTTAAGTCAAAGAATAAAGGAGTTGAAGGATAAATTAAAGGCCATCATAATGCAAGGAAAAGCCTTTTCTGCAAGTAATGGGAGTTCACTCCTAAATATGCATCATACAGGGAAATGATGATGTTTGCAGCAATACTATCACTTAAGCCACCCATCAGCACAGAGAAAAAAAAAGATTTGCCACTGGATTTTGACCCCGGAGTCCGGTTTCAGTTATACTGGTGAAAATCTGGAATAGCTCAAACCAGCTCCAAACTCTGCAAAGCCTGCATACACATCCCAGAGCAGCTGCCCAGATCCTGCTCAGTGGAGCTCTACAGCAACAGGAGAGGATCGCAGCAATGGTGGGAACAACTCTGCTCTCATAAAAGAATTCACTGGACAACCCATTCCTAAAGACAATCCTCAATTATTCCCTTCTCAAGATGTGGTCTGCCAAGGGTAAAACAATCTGTTACTATGAACAGATAAGAAATCTGGTTACTTCTTGCCACCCTCCCCTCTCCTGGACCCACTGCTTTACTGCCCTTCCAATGAGCACCGCTTGCTTTCCCTGCAGGCATCCCATGGACCACTCCGGTCTCCATCAGAAATTTATTTTGCTCGTCTTCCCCATCATTACGGGATTGCAGCTCAACTGGGTTAATTACCTGGTGGCCCAACCGGGCCGGGGGCTCCCCGTGGTCCTGGCAGGCCAGCCATGATGGTGTCTATGACGGTGGAGGCCAGCTGGGGTTCTCCATCTGTGTTAAAGAGCAGAGCAGTTAGTATCCCTGCAGCAAGAGCCGCCCGGTCCCGGCAGGCAGGACTTCTCTCCAAAATCCTTTGGCGCCTGTTGCTGGCCAAAGGCAGGCAGTGCTTCAGGATGCAAAATTTGGGCTATTGGAGCAATTTCCCTTTGCTCTCTCAGGGCACAGGCTGCATCCCCCAGACCTGCAAAGCCGCTCATTCCACCTCTGATAACCCCAGAGAAGTCCCTTCTGTCAAAAAATCCGTGTTCCTGCCCACCTGTATAACCCTACCTTTGAATGCCAAAGTGGATTAAGAGTAGCTCTGCACTGTACAGACAAGAGTACGGTGACTGAGTACAACTGACCCCAAATTTGCCATCTCCAAGATACATCTGGCTTCTGGCTACCTGAGAAATCAAACATGGAGCTGGAGCTCCCCGCCTCAGTCGGTGACTGCTGAGCCAGTCTGGCAGTCTTGCATATCCCCACCAACCCAGCAAGCTGCCCTGCCATCGAGGTGGTGGTGGGAGGTATCTCGAGGTCTGAGGATGCAGGAAAGCCCGGGGAGAGGGTGTGCCCTGCCCCCTCCACATACTCAGAAAACTCACTTGCCATTTAGGATTATTTCAGGTGTTCAGCTGGCCAGCTTGGGCAGGTCCACTGAGTTCTGGGAAACAGATGGAAATGGGAGTGGAGCAGGGAGGGGGAAGGCATTAGCAGGAATTGGAGGAATTTTGTGCTTTTGCACATCTTTCTCAGTCTTCTCCTGTTAGGAATAAGAATCAGCATCCTGTAGCTGCCCCCATCTTCCCTCACACTTGAGCCAATAGGCTTACCACTCCAGCTGGTGACTGAATAGAAAAAACAGAACTACATACAAAAAAGCAACCCTTACTATTTAATGCAATTCCAAAACCCTACTAGTAGTCTGGGGAGGTACCTCTATGGCAGAATCTTTCAGCTGAGCATCCCACAATGCTATTTGACAGTTGTGGAAACCTAGGGGAATCACAAAGCATGGAAGGGAACCCCCATGTCCTGATGCTAAGATTTGCAATCTGCTGTCCTGACCGGTGCTATAGGACCAACTGCATATTTCTTATTGTATTCAACCTGGATGAAGGCGTCAGCTCCTGGTCTTTGGGATAATAAACCCTTCGAAAAGTCCACATTTTCCATAGCTGGAAGCCACCATGCAGGAATAATGTCCACCTCCTCCTGCCCATGACCTCAAACTTACTTGTTTCCTTTCACCCATTCCTTTAACTCATCACAGTGGAATTCAGGGGAACCTTTTGCAGGTGTATAAGACTGTAAATGTCTCACTGCTATATTGATGCAAATATCAAGTGACACTAGGAGGATCAGAAGGGTGTTTGTTTACTTTGCAGAGTCCAGCCCAAAGGACATATGGTGAAATCTCCAGAAATGTTAGCAGACACATCATGAAGCCTTTTCAACTTCTGGAGTGTTGGCAATGATAGAGAGGACTTTCAAGCTAGTTGTTTGAAAGAAGTTCCTAGGGAAAACTGTGAGAACTCTTTAACTGCCAAGGATGACAGTATATCTCTGCAATGCCTTCCTGGCAGCAGAACAGCACAAGATCTAACCCAGATCCCTCTGAGAACCAAATTTCATGCCTAAAGCCTGAATACAAACAGGTATTTCTTTGACTATTGTTTCTAACCCCCACTATCTTCCCTCCTTCACAGCCCTGAAACAAAAACTGAGACTGTTTTCATGTTCAGAAGGAAAGGTACCCAAGTGAAGTGTGTAATTCAATTACTTTGAGTATTATTTGACCATGTCAAAATCCATCACAGCTTGAGAGTAAGATGAAATTGGGAAATGAGCATCAGATGGCAGTGAAGGTATTAACAATCTCAGAGCCTTTTGTTTTTATAGAACAAGTGGTCAACAAAATCAAATGCATATCCACTGAGAAAGAGAGAGGATGGGTTGCGAACAACCAGGATTTAATGACTGCTGGAGGTAAGCCAGAGATAAAGATTTGGGTTAGAAAACATTCCATCTAAATGGTACATTATTATGATGACAGAGTTACCCCCACAAATCCACCTATCCTGACATTTGACTCAAGGTTATTTATGAAAGGTGGTGCCATAATTGTGACATGGAAGAGACCTCTGCTCAACAGCCCTTGAGCTCAGTAGCTCCTGATTTGGCCTCTGCAGCGTAGCGGTATGGACATGCAGGGAATCTGGAGTGGCTCCTTCCTCAGCTGCCTGGCCAGGCAAAACTCACATCAGGGTTTCCCTCCAGGATGAGCTCTGAATGAAACGTTCTGTGAATGAAATGGGACTGAAGTGTGTTAAAACACAACCCTCACATTTTTTAAGGGACTCTCTCCATATTCCCATAAAGCAGCAGGAAGAACTCATATCTCCTTATAAACTCCCTTCTTATAAGCAGGGGGACATTCTGGGGCTCACTGCAGCTGGAGGTTGTTACAGCAGCCACAAAATAACTCCAGCAACAAACAGTAGCAGGAACCTCCCCTTCTCAGCCATCTCCTGCACTGATACAGGGCTGGGTTTTTAAAGAACAAGTGGTCAACAAAATCAAATGCATATCCACTGAGAAAGAGAGAGGATGGGTTGCAAACAACCAGGATTTAATGACTGCTGGAGGTAAGCCAGGGATAAAGATTTGGGTTAGAAAACATTCCATCTAAATGGTACACTAGGGCTCAAGGGCTGGATTTTGTTTCAGTGCTTCTGGATACACCAAAGCAGAAGGTAGACAATTGTCTGCCTCATTTAAGAAAATCGTGATACACAATTTGCTCCGGGAGCTTTCCAACTCCTAGCCAAGCTAAGAGGAAGAACACAACCCGTTTCACCTGGGTAGATATGAGCACCTACGTTCTCTGGAAGAGCGCACAAACATCCTGCAAAGGGTAAACCTGAAAAGCACAGAAATGCCCTGAACAAGGCAGTGAAACTTGCCCAGCCAGGGTGGCAAGGCATCTCAGAGGCACAGGCATAAACAGCTTTGAAAGCAGTCCGTACGGTTTCCTAAATCAAATCCTTTCTCCTTCCCCTTCACTTCCTCTGCTCTGCTCTCCCTTCCTCAGGAAGGGCCACACCTGGCAGCAGGCATGGGGATGTCACTTCACAAATCTCTGTTCTATGCTCTTTTTCACCAACGGCACACTGGGCACACAGGCGAGTCTGCTGTGCCTCGGTTTCCCCTTGCTCTCCCCGCAAAATAGGTTAATGTTATCTCATGTGTCCTTCGCAGATTGAAATCTTAGAGATGTAAGAAAACACAGCCCTCAACAGAGGAAAGCTGAAGTCTTTTCTCTTTTCCCTAAAAACTGTCTCAGCTTTATCATGAGAAATAGGAGTGAGCTGTCTCTAGACCACATACCTGATTTTTAAGTGACAGAGAAAGCAAGAGATCCTTGTAGCAGCAGCCTCAGCAGTGGAGTATGGCAGTTTAGTTTCTGGCCTATGTCTAGTGTTTCTAGGGGATAAATTCCCCCATTATAGGCTTGATTTGTTGAGACAGGATGGAAATGAAGTAATCCTGTCTTAATTTCTTTCTGCTACCTGATCTGGAGGGAGACAACTGGGACCAATTTCTTTACCACAGCACAGTGAAACTGTGAGAAAATATTTTTCTCCCTATTTTTGGCTTCTGCCTGCTGATAAACATTGCCAACAGGAACTTGTTGCGATGAATAAAGGCACATGCATTAACCACGTTCAGGCGGAACCAAACACTGTACTCCTAACAATAATCTGATACAGTGTTCTCACATCTCTGGGGGTGCACATGCCCATTACCAGGAATATGCTTCCCTCTGCTGTCAGCAGCTGGAATCTTGTGTTTATCGTTTTCAGATGTGCTCCATTCAAAATAAATAAATAAAATTTAAAAAAACCCCTAAACCTCTACCAAGACATTACAAGGCGCTTTTATTGGTTGTAGAGGATCAGCTTTCCACCAACCTGTGGTAGGCAAAATCAATCAATATATAAGCAAAATGGTCAGTTTTGTGAAAGAATAGTCTTGATATTGCCGTAACTTTATCATGACCACATAGATAACTCATGCAGTGAGACTTGTATTAAGAAAAAATTTTTAAATGAGAAAAATTGTCAGAGTTTTGGGCTACTCCTGCAAGAAAATCCACCACGGATGCAGGGGAGAAGTACAGGGCTGCCCCAAATGAGCACCCTTTACCCATGGTTCTCAAGTCCGTGTGGGAGCCTGTTGCAGGCTTTATGCAGATATTTATTCACTCATTTATCTGCTCCCCATTTTGGGACAATACAGAGTTCACCCTTCTCACACATCAGCTGGGAAGGCCATGTAATCCATGCCTTTATACACTTGTTAATTTATCCACCACTTTGCAAGAAAAGAGTTTAATTTAAAGGATGGTTAGAGGGAGGGGGAAGCAGCAGTACCCAAACCATCCTTAAGCATTCTTTGGAAAAAAAGGCTGAATGCAGAATGGCACCATTTGGTGCGATCCTGTAAGGCAATGAGGTGACTGTAATGCTAAACTTCCTTGTGAATGCAGCAGCTCCATCTACATTTTGTGAAAACCTTACTACTGAACCACAATTAATTCCATCCTGCCCTTACGGTCTAAGTAACTGAATGTGGAATTGAGCTGTTAAAAGTCTTCCCAAATTAAAAATACATCTGTTCACTTTTGGGAAAAGGAGTGTGGAGAGTGGAGTGGGTGGAAGGGAGAGTTCTAGAAAACTTTCAGACACAGGGAGACCTACTAATCCTTGGCTGTAACTAATACAACTGAGCTTTGAAGCTGGACAGGAGCAGAAGAGCTGGGGAAGAGGCACAGCTGAAGTTTGGGGGAGTGGAGATGGGAGACCCGACAGAGCTGAGGCTCCAGGAGTTTATGAGCCAAGAGGAGATACAGCTGAGCTCTGTTCTATCATTATTAGGTGCCAGCTACACAAGACTGGACCGGAAAAATCAAGGCCAAATCTGAGAGCACTCAGATAAAAGTGCATGATGTGCCTTTCCTAGAGAGGCTTTTCCTGCCATGCACAGCACAAATCAAATACATATATTTTTAAATCACGTAGGCTCAAAGAAACCCTGACCCTCCAGATACAGGGAGGGTATAAATCACAGTCTTGGTCCAGGCTTTCAAGTCCATAATTCTGTGTTTTGCATGGATGTGGGATAATGTTGATGCATAAGAAACGCAGGTGGAAGACACATCTGCGGGGGCAGGAAAAGAGACGCATTTAACAGATGTTCTTGTTATATAATTTCAGAGTTGCAAACCTTTGGTACTTACTCTTTTCTGAGCAACCCTGAGCACTGTAACACTGCAACAGCAGCTCCAAGAGGTCTCTCAACAGCGCAGTTTCGTTGCACCAGCACCTAATCAGCCAGACTGATGTATTTCTCTACCCACTTGTCTCTCATGTGATGCTACCCGAGCTGTGTCATTTCAGCTGCTACTCACAAGGGAAGCTTGAAGGACACGAAGTTGCCTTCTCAAAGCTATGATGAACCCAGAAAACCAGGCACAGGGAGCAACCATCAATCCCCCAAACCCTGTTCTCACTGATGGTTTTAGAAGACCAGTGACTTAATTCCTCCTCTTTAGAGAAGTGAACCCCTCTAGCTTCTAAGTCTTACATGTTTCATCTTGAACAAGAACTTCTAAAAGACCCCCACAATGGAGGCAGATTGTCTATCTGCTCCCAGGGAAGGCAGGACCCTGGCAGGGAGGTGGGAGGAAGAGCTGAGGTGCTCTGTGCCTGCCCACTCTGCTGAGGTACCAGGAAAAAATGGGAACTGAGGATGAAACTTACTTTCTTTTTCAGCTGTAGGCTGGAGTGAGTAGAGGACCCCTTGCTGGAAGGTAAGAGGGAGGCTTGGGGTGGCTGGTGGCCCTGGAGGACCCGGGGGACCCGGGATCCCGGTTTCTCCTGGAAGTCCTCTTGGTCCTTGAGGTCCCAACAGCCCTGTGCAGAGGCAGGAGAAGATGTGTTAGTGCATTTGAAGATGTGCTAATGATACTACCATGTAAAAAGACAATAAGAAGACAAGGGAACTCTGCCCTGAACTGTAACTGGGAATTAGGGGCATGGGGGGAAATAGGAACAGCTTCCCAGTTTTCCATGATTTGCCTTTAACATCTTCCTCTGCAAAGCAGATAGCCTTACTTGGCTCAAAGGTGCTGCGAAGCTTAATTCCTGGATGAGTAAAATCTCCCCCTCCCTGAGGCTGAGCAAGAAACTAAAGGTAGCAAAACGGGGAATCAAGCACCGGTCTCTCTCTTCCCCTCCACATACACCTGTGTGTCACTTTACTGCCAGGAAAGCACAGAAAGAGCCACGGAAACGCCATCAGTCCAGGAGCAGATCAATCCCGCTTCCTGTGGGGCTGGGAGGCTTTCACTGCAAACTAAGAAACCAAAAGGCAGACACATCCTTGGCCAGACTTTAGCCGCTGACGGTTTGCCAGAAAATGCCAAAAAGTGTTCAGGGCCACTCTCTCATTTAAGGTACACTCCGAGTTTCAAATCTTTCCTGAGCTCAGATTTATAAGGTACAGCCTTTTAGACACACACAAAGCACAGAGCCTGAGGTCTGGCACCTATTGTGCAGTATTGCTTTCATCAAAAGATTTAGGAACATTTTGGGGATGAAGAAAGCTCAGGAATGGACTGTACTCTGACAGAACAGCCTCATAATCTTTTCCCTTAACATACAAAAGCATCGTTAGTTTGACATCCTGGCATCCAACAGCTCGACACAAACGGTAGAGAAAAAAGGGGAGTTAAAACAGGCACACAGCAAGACGGTTAAAAGGGAAGACTTTTATCTAAAGGCTGACGGATCAGACACTGGTTTTTACAGCTCCCGAGCAGGATGGGGAGACATGATCCTGCTCTGCAGCTTTGCAGGACAAGCTCTCTCCAGCTCCACGGGAAATCCCAGGGACTGGCATTGCTCGTGCAGGCAGTTGCCCCCTCTGAGAGTTGCTGGCTGATTCCAATGCCCAGGGGACTCCCTGGAATGGATTCAACACCAGCTGGAGATGCTCAACTTCGTGTGTGTGCAGCCTTCTACGATCTGTTACCACAAACAGCTTGTATAAAGTGAAATATCTCCTATTGTGGTAGCACTGTCCTCCTCCAGCACTTACCTGGTGGCCCCGCCGGGCCCCTCTCACCAGGTTGTCCCTTCTCTCCTTTCGGCCCTGGTGGTCCTGGAAGACCAGTTGGTCCAACTGGGCCTGGAGGACCAACCTGTCCTGGCAGCCCTGAAAACATTCAGAAAGGAAATTAGTTGGAGGTTAGGACACTGCTGAGGTCAGAATGTCTTTAGCAACCTAGAAACCAGGAGAGAGGGACTCAAAGATGCCAGGGGAGAAATGCAGCTTTGCACAGACAGGGTGGTTCTGGTGGCAAGAGCTGGCTGCTATGCAGGACAGAAGAGACAGACTGGGCCTTGCTTCTCCTCTTCTTCCTCTAATCTTTAAAGAAAGCATGTCCCCACACACAAGGCCTGCCTCAAAAAGTCAGTAGGACGTGTACCTCCAGCTGGGACCTGCCGGTGAAAGCTAACGTGAGCCTGCACTGTCCCCTTCCCAAGGTCTGGCTGGTCCCTCAAGCACTCCTGCACTAGCTTTGTCCAGATACACGTGTCAGCTCTGGGGTAGTCCCAGTGTATCAAAATACACAAAAGCAAAAGCAAATCAAACCCTGTCTCTCACTTCCTCTGGCTGATACATCCATCCCACCCAGAGATTCCACATCAAAGATGTTTCCCTGTTTTCTCCTGTTTTCATTCATCTAACAAGCTTATCATGCTGTGCACAAGCATTTTTCATCCTAAACTGAAATTAATGCACCCACACTTTTGAAGTAACTAGCTGTTGCTAATTTATACCGATGAATAGGGTGCTGAGCAAATCCATCTGGAAATACCAGTAACACAATAATTACAGCCCAGCAAGATTCTTCTTGGCACGTCCACTCAGCCCCCCAGTAAACCTATGAAAGGTTCAGGCAGCGTTTATAATCTGAAAGTGACTATTTCTGATGACAGTAAATAAAATCTTAATGTTGTTTTCTGTAGACTATCAAAGTAATAACAACACTTGAAAATTGTACAGTATTTTTCAGAAAAACACCATGAAACTCTGGCTCATAAAAGTAGCAGCTGCTTTGGGAAAGTACAGTGAAACACTGTACGAACGTCAGTGAAGCCTTTAATACCGTACAGAGGTGGGTGAGTTTGTCTACTCAGATTAAGTGGTTAATGGTTACAATAAAGGCATTAACTGTCAGACCCAAGAGAGTCAGTTGGAGGTTCCTGGTTTCGGGGCTACCAAAGGGCTTTGAGTATTTGAAAGCAGTGTCAGATGCAAGCTACAAAGCCAGAAGAAGATCTGAGTAGAGAGTTCAGTGCACTCGGGTTTAATCTGTATATTACATATGACCATAACCCAGCAGAGCACCGGTTAAGTTTTGATAAACTCTAAAGCTGTGTCCTTTCCTTTCCCTGGTATCAGAAGAGGTACCGGACCCTCCAAGAGCAGGGCCAGGAGAACCTCCTGCATGTAGGGGTGGAGAAGAACGGATATGAATGGAGGGAGAGAAGGAGAGAAAGGAACAAGCTGGCCAGCTAACACCCTCACAGCTGGTACCAAAGGGAACAGGGCTACATAATAAAAACCAAGGCCCACAGGATTTGCAGCTCTCACATTTGGATCTGGTTCCCACTCTAGGTGTGGGACAGACCACCTGGGGCACAAAACCTTGTCCCCCTAGACATTCATCCAAACTCTCTGTATTTCTCAGAACAAAGCAATAATTCCCCAATATTAGACCCCTCAAAAGCTTTCCCTTCTGTTCTTTTTTTTTACCATTCTGGAGAGATGTCCAAGTTATTTTTTTTCTTACAAAAATGAAATCTATCCATCTCTAATCCATAGTGAAACTGGGCAGACTGAAGAAATTAGATTTTTCAAAGGCTTTCTGTGGGCGTGTGTGCCTGTATTTTTGTTTTATTCAGTCATCAATAAAGATCTGATTTAATTTGAATATTGAACAAGGAATTAAGGTAAGGTTTTAATTCAGATCAGTTTGCTTACCCACAGGACACAAACTGCAAACTTCTCTGTGAATAGAGGGTCTCCTTTAACGGATCTCACCTGACTGGACGCTGTACTTGGCAAGCTCAGGCAGGTGATCAGGATCCCATTTAAGAGAGCAAGAGCATTTCTTCACAGCATTGCAAAGAGCTTCTCCCCTGTTACAAAAACCCCCAACAGACCTGAAACTTTATTGCAGCAAATTCTTTCCAGCATAGAGGGAAGAACAGCAGAAACACTGTTTCTCAAGCACAACACACTGTGCTGCTAAGCATGGGTCAAAACACTGCCTTGCTTATATAAATCAGCCTCAACCCTTCAGTTCAACCTTTATAACTCAATCCTGTGAGCTTCTGCAGACCAAGAGCAATCATTTGCTGCTAGCATCCTCAATCATGATGCTGCAACAGAGCTTTAAAGAAACTGGCACTTACTTCCCTGAAGGTGGAAAGTGCTAAAGGAAAGACTAGGAAAAGCAGCACTGAGTAATGTGTCAGGCAAGTGCTCATACTGGTGACAAATGGTGTTACCAGCATAAAAGAGACAAGTGCAAAAGGGAGAAGAAAGAGGGAAGGATTCAGGGAAAAGGGGAGAGGGAAATGAATAGGCCAAATCTTCAACTGGCATAAATCAGCTCTGCTACAGCGGCATTGCTTTCAGAGCTCTGAAGCCCATGGCAAGTATTTATCCTCCAAAAATATGAAAGAAATAAGCCATGAGAGGAAAAAAAAAAAAAAAGGCAAAAAAAAAAAAAGGCCAAGGGCCAAGGGTGAGTATTCTGCTGCTGGAGACCAAATCAGACATGCAGAGACCTGGATTTTCTTCCTGGCCCTGTCATTAACCTGCAACACACCATCTGTTCCCTTTCCTTCCCCAAGGATTTTTCTGTAGAGGAGCAGGGTATTCTCTGACTGTGTGGAGCTTAGCAAAATGATGCCCGGAACATTCCCAGCAGCTCTCAGTGCCCCTGGCAGGCAACACCAATAAGGTAACAATGGTGTTTTCTTCCATCACTCAGCACATGTCCTGCTCGCTCTGGCCATGTGTCCTCCGGTGAACTGCCTCTCCACAGGGCAGCGCTTTCCGCCCGTGTGCTGGCGGATCCAAACGTCTCACAGATGACAGAGCTGGCATTTCGCCTCTCTAACCAAGCAGCCCATGATCAGATAAAACCCAAAGAAGAAACCCAGCCTCTCTGTATCTGTGAGGCTCTGAATCACTGAGGACCCCTGGCCGCAGGACCCTTCGGCTTTTTGGGACAAACCATGTACAGGACTGGGCAGAGCAACAGTTTGTGCTTTGAAAGAGGAAAGAGCAGAAGCCACTGACTTACCCTGTGGTATCAGCTGCTCCTCTGTACCTCTGTGTCCTTTAGGCTCTAGTTAAGAGGGGTCAGGGTAAAAAAAAAAAAAAAAAAAAATTAGGTCTCTCGTTGCCAGCTGTTTCAACCAGAGTATATATATTTTCCTAATACTCAGTAAAATGTATCCTGTTGATTAACAAGCTGATCAGAAAGGCCAGCAGTGCAGCTGTCTCAACAGCTCTGATTGCTTTTAAATGATTGTCTATTCTCAGCCCTGTCACTCACAGAAAAAATAACTACCCTAATAAACAGTAGCGAGTTTTCCTGGACTTCAGCCTGGAGAGGTGTCAGCCAACCACGAGCTGTAAGGTCATCCAGCAACACTCTCACCATTCAAAGCATCTAGTCCGTATCAACCATCTTTGTGTCAGACACCAACATTCTGCTGTTAGTCTATCCAGCTGAGAAATTTGGTGGCATGCAAGTGAGGATACAGATTTGCTTTGGCTGAAAAAACTAGAAGCGGGACAAAGTAGGCAATATTTCACAAAAAAACTCCAGGGTCAAGGATGGGAGGGACAGAGTTTTAGCTTTCCGCAACCCAAACCACACAGGACACTCAGGGTTTTGACTTCCACCTACTCTGGTGACTCAATATCACACATGTTGAAAGATCTCCTGAGGTCTGAAATCTCTGTAAGTGAACCTGGGGCCAGCTCTGAGCAGTAAGTCCCAATACAGTGTTGAAATCATGAAAAATGGGCAGTCCCCTACCATCCCAAACCAACTGCATGAAATTCCCTACATTTCCCCAAAATCCATAGTGCATTTTTTTTTGGCTGGCTTTGAATTATAGATAGAAACTGGTGTGGACAGGGAAGGAAGCCAAATGTGGACCCAGATCCCACAGCTCCTTAGCAAAGCAAGTATTTGAAGCCCTCGGGGCTCGGGTGGGGGCTTGAGCTGGCAATCACATGTCAATAAGCAACTTAACTAATTACTTCTAATTGTTGAAAGACACTGTCCTGACCTGAAACGGTCCCGTGCATGCCTGATTCCCAGTTATTACACTAGAGTTGTCATTCCACACTAGGTTAAATAAATCTAGGCTAGAAAAATAAAGGGTAAGACCGAGCAAGGACTACACTAAGTAGCACACAGGCAGGGCTGTAACGCATGCAGCCGGCTGTGCGACAGCCTGGAAGTCTGGCTGACAAGACAGATTCACCTAAAGCTGAGACAACATCACCTGTTTATTGGAGGTGATCACTAGCCACGTCCTAGATTAACTGCAGGGGTGGAGGGTGCTGATACTGGACCACGGAGTCAGCCTGGTGCAAGCGCTATAGGAGATCTGTTCTCTTTGGCATCGCTGCCTGCGGGAGGGGCATTTGCTGCTCCTTGCTGAGCAAGAGGAGATTATCATGTGTACGGAGCCTCCGAGAAGAGAGGACTTTGAGAGGAAGGGACAGAGTCATCAGTACTTTTGCTGGACTGACTTTATTACAATGAAGTGCAGGTGCAGAGATACTGTGACAGCAAAAATAAATGACATGGAGAAGGCGGAATGAGCATATAATGGACACCGGGGGAAGCTGCTTTAATTCGGTTCCTGGCAGCCATCACTGTGGTTCTGAAAATACTTTGCAGAACATACTGTTAGTGAACCTCCCTCCATGTTGTGGCATCCTGTCAAATTATAAACATGGACGACATCTGGTCTATGTTGGTTGCTCCAAGTCTGCTGCAGTCATGAAGGGCTGCCATAATAAACTGCTTGGACCAGAAAAAAAAAAAAAAAAAAAAGAAGAAAAAAGTGAAGTAGGCCCTATAGAGGATAAAGAACTAAAGAACTGTTCTGGGAGCAAGCAAAGCAACTGACAGACAGGGCTTTGGAAACAGAGGGGGGGATCTTGAAATGAGAATGTCAAGGTCAAGGAAATTCAATGCATGGGGATCTGTCTAGCCAAGTGGGCTCAGAGGGAGATTTTCTTATAAGTGTATTTTTTTTTCATGCCACAAGAGGGATCATAAAACAGCCCATTGTGTTTATAGTAAGTTTAAAAAATGTAATGCAGACTGCAACTGATGTTGCTATTCATGGGAAAGTTTTTCCTCCTAATAAAACAAAGAATTACCCTTACACCCCAGTCCTCTACCTCCCCACACCGCTCCCAGACAGGGAAACACTGCATTCAGTGCTCAGTAGGTGAGTATGAATTGTCCCCCTGTGATCCCAACGGCTCTCTGGAGTTACTTCAGGAATGTTTCAATCTATCCAGGCCTCAAAATCCACAGTCTTTGGACTTAAAACATGTACACTGAAATACACGGGCAGGCATAGTGGCCCTACTGAGATTAACAGAAATCTAACTTTCCCAAGACCAGTAGATGCTTGTGCCAACAAAAACTGAGGCTAGCAATGGGCCATTAAGGCTGGCAAAATCAAGCTGGATATGTTAGTTTCTGTGATGAGCTGCTTTCTTCCAGGAATATGCCTGCTCTGTGCTGGCCTAACTCAAGGAGGGGCAGAGACATGGAGAGAAAAGCTGAGAGTCCTTCCAGTTGAGAAGGGGTGACCCTTATCCCTGCACGGGCAGTGGGAATGGGCCCTGAGGAAATCACACCCAGCTTGCTGCAGCTAAAAGGATGGTCTGAGGTGGGATTAGAGAAGCTTGAATTCCTTCCTCATCCGTGAGCCTGCATGTATATTGGCATGAGACCATCTCTGCGTTCACAGCTGGGCACAGAGGGGCAGGCAAGAGGCACCACTGAACCCTTCAACAGAAGAGCCCCTGGTTTGGAGGAGTCCTGTCTCTAGAGCTAAATAATGCTGACTCTGACCCTAAAAGAGAGGCTGAAAGCTCTCAAAACGCCTCTCTGTAGGATGTTTTTTCTGCTGAGCACAGTCACATCTTGCAGCAAGCATTCGCAAAACCCAAAGCGCTGGTGTCGCTGCTGGGGCGCAAAGCAAAGCGCAGACACGGGGCCGCTGGCGCAGCAGGGCTGCCTGCCCCTGCTCATCACAGCACCATGAGGCCCACAGCACACGGCCCCCTGCTCCATCCAACACGGTGGCAAACGTGCCCACAAAAAAGAGAGGAATTGCCCATCTGAAAATCTTAACTCTCTTCTCCTTTACAGAGCAGAGGGAAGGAGCTGCCAGTGTTTCCCTCCAACCCCTCTCCCCTGCAGCAGACTGACACGGCCTCCTTTTGAGTTACTCTGCAGGAATTGTGTATGTAGGGTGGGCAGTTTGGTGAAGAGCAGGTCAGACTTACCAGCAGATCCCACCGTTTTTCTCAGGACAGTTCCAGGATTCAGCAGGGGAAAAGCATCTGGTAGCAAATCGTCATACCACGTGGCTGTCGTCCCCGTGATTGGCAGGTTGTTTTCCAACGGTGGGCTTCGCTCTGCAGCCTCGAGCAGAAGGATCTACACAGAGGACATGGGGAAGGCAAACAAGGTCATCGGGATGGTTTCACACACAGTCTCAATCCTGAAGGGGTCTTAAAACTCCTCTCCTTGCCAGCAGGAGCTGTGAATAACTCTGCATCAGAGACCCCAGGGGTTTGGTGTTAAAGCTCTACCGGTTTTCTGGGAAGTGGCAGTTCTCAGTGCAGGAAGCGGCTGTGTTAAGTTGCAAGGGGGTCCCACACACGCCCTCCTTGCAGAGGGCTTCACTGCTTCCAGAGAGACTCAGCCTCACGTGGGTTGTCTCCCTGGTGAGAAACACGAAACCAGAGAGCAGAGCTGGGGTTAGGGGACGCAGCATTTCACTGCTAGGTTACACATTCAAATCCCGAATGGTAAGGGCAGAAATTACCGCAAGCTGGTACAAGGTGAAGGGCTGCACCCTGGATGTCCAGGGTCGCAAACTGAGGTGCCTCAGGACAAATACTGGTCGTGAGTCAAAGCACAAATGCTGACCCAATGATTAAAAAAAGGCAGGCAATTTCCTCAAAGAGCTCTACTTAGAAGTAATAGGATCTTATTAAAACACAGAACCGTTTCTATACCTTGTAAGCACACTACCTTCAAATAAATCCACATCCCAACCTGTGTCCCTGAGCTATTTGGGCTATTTACGACCTAAGCTCCTTAGCAAAGTGCCCCATTTTCCCCCAAATGATTTAGACTGCTGTCCATCAGGCTGTGCTCCCCCAGGCACTGGTGGCCCATGTGAAACTGGAAGTTAGTCTTTAACATGGCTGCAAAAAACCTAAATGCCCACAAGAAGAAGAGGGATGGAGGACCCAGATGGGCTTCACCCACTGACAAACTCCATTCAAGTGAAGTCCTGGGGAACATTCATTGCACTTTACAATCAACATCTTAAATTACAGTTTTCACAAAATTAGGATTTCAATCTAAATGCTTCATCCCCTGCCTTCCCAGCCACTAAGCAAGGCTGGCATAACAAAGTCGCCTGCGTATTTCTTTTGAAAAAGCCTAACCCAGCGGGAGCGCTGACCTGGCGTGCCAAGCCCACGTGCTCTGCTGCTGATGGATTTTACCCCAGTTGTTAGACAGAAGCTAAAGAGAGGCCAAGGGCAGCACCCAGATTCCCAGTGGGGCAGCCATAGGGTTGGCAGCCCCTGCATTAGCCGTGCCTGGGATGCAGCAGCAACCCTGCCACTCACCTGGCAGCTGGATGGATCCCTGGCAAAGCTGCCTGCCCAGGGTGGACACAGGATGCCCATCAGGCAGGAGTAGGGCTGAGGTTTCCAGAACAAGAGATTTAATCCAAGCATCCAGCATCTCCAGAAAATTCTGCTTTCTAAGCACAAAGCTACACAGGAAAATTGTTTGACACTGTGGTTTGTTACAGTGCTGTCTCTTCCTGTTTGGAAACCACCTAAGCAAATACTGATTTAGGGATAAGGGAAATAAAAAGAATAACGGCTCAAACTTTCCACTAAATCCCTAGAAGTTTCAGCTTTTACATGCTGTGTTGTCTTTACATAATGAAGTCACACTGCAATTATAAATGAGAGTGACTTGGCTCCACTTGTTTGTTTTCAACTTGCAATTATTACAAGGTTTATCACTTATTTATTACAAGGCATGGAGAGAGCCAGTACTGCAGCAGTGCCAGAAATGATGAACTTCCTGCAGAATGTACTGGCCTGACAGGGGTGAATCAGAAACTAATTAAACTGGGAGCTAGGTTAAGTGCAAGGGAACTGAACCTCAGCTGTTGCAAACAAGCAAAATTCTTCCTTTATTGCAAGGATCTCTACTCACGGATCCAGAGTCTTGCCTTCTGAGTAATAAGAAAGCAAAAAGGAATCAGGTCACATTGCTTTTATTCAACAGGCTTCTCTGACGCCAGGCAAGGAAGGAATCGGTTCAGTCTGTCTCTTGGACTTCTGTGCTTCTACCCAATGATTTATTTGTCAGACTTTCAAGGAGATATGCTATCAGTTCAACAAACACTTAAGCATGTGCCTTACCATAATCATGCTTAATTCTCATTGACATGAGACTCAAGTGTGCAATGAAGACATTTTCTGAATCACTTTATACTATTATATTATCCTCTTACTTCCCCAGCAAAACACATGCATGTTGCCAAAGTGTATTCAGCAACAGAGGCAAAATGAGTTGGCAAATTAGAGGGGCTACATCCAGGGCAGGGTTAGGATGCTCCCGCTGTGAGGGCGGGACCAATGAGGGCTGTCTTGGACGGTATTTTGCCACAGCCCATCAGTGCTGTGGGAAGAGGTGATATGAAATCAATAGCAGCAACGGTCAGAGACCAGCAAACTGCAGGGGGCCAGGGCCCTCCTGGGCGGTGCAAGCGGCACTAGCACAGCTCTGCCGAAGGTTGCATCTGGAGTGGAATGGCTCCAAATCATTTTTATGGGTGACAATAAAAATGTGTTACCACATAATCAACACAAAACAGTGGCAACGGTATCCTTTTCATTAAAACAACATGTTTTAAATGAGCGCTCTGCTGATAAACACTGTAAAAGATTTTAAGGCATGCACAGAATAATCCAGTATGCTCTTTTATAAATTGACTATGTATACTTAGCAGTCATTAAGGCTCAAACCATAGTAACAAGTTTATTTTTCCTGGGCACAAAATGATAGAGGTCAGGAAGTCTCCAGACTTGAAATTGCTGAGAAATTCTAGTTTTTATGATTAGGACTGAAGAAGTGCCCAAAAGAAATAAAGTAGAAAGAAGAGAACTCACATCCGTGAGATCCACAGAGCCAAACTAAAGAAGGAAAAGCACAAGGGATTTAGTCACATTCAAAAATCTCAAACTATACACAGTTCTTTCAACAAGGAGTGTCCTCTCATAAGCTAGCACAACACACAGCACAAATGGGGTCCTTACGCATTACTGCAAGAGCACTGGAGCCATTCATCTATTTTCTGTCACGTTCTGTTTTTCTTAAGGCTGCCATTGCTGTAGTCAAGGGACTTGAGGAGAATTCCCACTTTCATTAAACAAAAAAAGAAAGTTCCTAGCCCTCTGAGTAAACTGCTGGAAAATGATACCACAGAGGCTCACAGCCAGCAAGCAAATTAGCAAAATGTGCAATGTATTAAAGTCTCGGTATTAAAATCTTGGTATTTTCTAGTCAATAAGGTTGAGGTAGAGAGAGGGATAACACCAAGTGAAAGAAGAATGTGTGGTTTTGATTGGAAAGCCTCATCGCAAGTAGTGCCCACCTCTCTTGCTATTAGCACTTCCAATACAGAAGTTATGCCTTCATGAAGAATGGAGGCAGAAAACATCCTCATGCCACCATATAAATTAAATATGTCTTGATGCCATGTGTAAATGTTAGTTACCCAACCAACCGGAGCAGGGACAAAGAACTAGCTGAAGGGCAGCACATGGTGCCTTCGGTGTCAGGAGGGTAGATCCCTGCAGAAGACATGAAGGTCCTTCCTCCCCAGTCTGCGCTGTGTTGCACAAGGTTAAGGATGGCCTCAGCTCAGCAAAACACTTGGGCTTTTGTCTTTTTGCACGTTGGAAACAAAAGTCAAATCTGAGCCTAAATGGACATGCTGAACTGGAGCCTCTGGCAACAGAGGTCCCACCGGCTTGAGGGCTTGTCTCTGGTTTCCAGACCCCACCTCTCAGACACAGCTGAACTGGGTCACAAAGCTGGAAAAAACTGAAACGGGGCCGCATCTCCTGCCAACACCGCAGCGGGAGACAGGCCCGCCGTAGGAGACGGCGTGTGAACACGAAGGGAATGCAGGAGGGATAATGGCCAAGGAGCTCGCAGGCCAGCGCCAGCGGCAGAGGTTATTGCCTGCAAAACTCACCCCGGGGCCATCTGAGTCCCGTGGAGCCGTCGGGCTCACCTCTGTACAGGATCTGGCACTTGCTCTTCTCCTGTGGCTCAAAGCCTGACTCTTCACTGTGGGGCCCGCTCACGCATAGGGCCCTCAGCAGGGACATTAGCGTTATGTGCCTGAAGCTCAGTCCCAGCTTACTCAACCCACCTCCCCCTTTTCTATTTGCCAGCATAAACTTGCTGAACTTCAGACACATACCACATTTCTTGCGTCAGATCAAAAGCTCAGTCCAGGGACAATGGAAATGGGAGGAAGATTTTCATCTTCTTGAGATGTTCGGTGTCAGAGGACTTTTTTTGGCTTGTAGTGGCTTTCAAGAACCCTATTTTGGTTGTTCTCACACATCAAAAGAAGATTTCACAAACACAGCCTCCTCCCATCATCTGTCCTCCGCTTGCATTCCTGATGTCCTGTAACTAGTAGGTGCTAGAAACAAGGAAAGAACAGCCGGGCTTCCAAAGATTTCAAAATTGATACAACAGGGCTCAGAATGCTTTTTCTTTGGATAAAAGTCCATGAACATGCAGGGGGAATCATTTGACATAATCCAGATGGATATTATTAATTAATAAACAGGGGATATTTGGTCTCTTGAAGCATTGACGGAATTAACTCCCCTCCATCCCTCTCTAAAGACGAGGGAAAGAAACTGCATGAATCCAGCTCATCAGCTAAAAATTCCAGTGTAAAATAAGATTCCCTTGATCTTGTAAAGACACAAGCTGATTAATAATGGTAATTGCATAACTTGTTGGACATATCTTTCTTTATAGCAAATTATTTGGCAAAATATAAGGGCTTTTTTAATCATTCATCAAGACACAGAGCTAAACAGGGAGTTTTACAAAATCTGATGGAGAATGGTATCTCTCTTGTAGCAATACAAAACCTGTGAAGACAAGGTTCCAACGCAGATGCAATTGTTTAGTTTCAAAAGCCAAAAGACGTTCAGTAAGTGTCCACTAAAATCTGATGAACCAGGTGCCCAGAGAGAACCTGGGTAACTTCATCCTTATTACATCTTAGATGCTTAGAGGCCAAAGGGAACAAGATAATGAGTGCATGGAGGAGTTTTCAATACACTGATAAATTATCTGGGAAGCAA